GTAAAGTATTATTTTTAATATAATAATATTAATATGGATCTATAAACCAAACGTGTCTTATTATTGATGAAATACCTCATACACAGTGCTCTAACCCCCAGCTACGGAAAACTTATCCATAAGGAATAGAAAAACTTCCCTGGATAACTAATATCGTAACAAGGTCCCCCGACCATCATTTGCAATACCATTTGGGTGAATAAAACATGTGAGAACTAATGTTTTTTTTTTCTCATAATAAGTGTAAAATATAACATTGTGGCGTAATAGTTGTGCACTGCACGCAACCCATCAGAATACTATGTATATTATTATAACAAGCTCATATGCCGAAAAACACTAATACTATTATTTCTAATTTATTAAAATAGTTAAACACAGAAATAATATATTTTATCTAAATTTATAATAAAACTAGTTTCCTAAAACTGTGCATTCGTTATCGTTTGAATAGAGATACACTTGGTGTTTAATGTACTGAACCTCTGCAACGATTATTAGTTATTGTTATCACTGTCCAGCTWTTAATAYTGCCATGCTTGATATGCTGTGGTTGAATTGGGGGAGGACGCGGGGGGACTGAGCTACTATTTTTTCTTCAAATTATAGCGTAGCTMWTTATTATATTCATCAAGGAATAGGGTTACTATTAAATTGATTTGCTTGATTGTTAAACTTAATTTAGAGTCCACCTTTATTTATTTTTYCAATTCAACCACTGTTGATATGTAGATTATTATGTATTAAGATGTTAAGTTAAATATTGTAAGAATAACTTGTATGAATTATCTTTATGTAATCAAATTAAGAACAAATTATGRATAAATAGCGTGTTAAATAATATATTCATTATAAAATATAAAAAATACAATATATTATCAATACAAACATTATTTGTTAATATGATTTATCCTGTGTGTGCGTCGATGTATTATCAATTGACCATTTCTGCTGAACGTCAAGGTTAGGTTAGGTTAGGCTTTCGTCAAACTGGAGCTTGTAGAAAACGATTTGTCACACAATTCGCACGCGYACGGTTTTTCACCCCAGTGTGCGCGTCGATGTACCGTCAAATGGCCACTCTGGTTGAACGATTTGTCACACACCTCGCACGCGTACGGTTTTCCACCACTGCAGTGTGTGCGTCGATGTACTGTCAAATTGCCACTTATGCTGAACGATTTGTCACACATATCACACCCGTATGGTTTTTCACCAGTGTGGGTGCGTCGATGTATTTTCAATTGGTTACTTTGGGTGAATGATTTGTCACACACCTCGCACGCGTACAGTTTTTCACCAGTGTGAATGCGGCGATGTGCTGTCAAATTGCCACTTATGCTGAACGATTTGTCACACATATCACATCCGTATGGTTTTTCACCAGTGTGTGTGCGTCGATGTATTATCAATTGGCTATTTCTGCAGAATGATTTGTCACACACCTCGCACGCGTATGGTTTTTCACCACTGTGTGTGCGTCGATGTACTGTCAAATTGCCACTTATGCTGAACGATTTGTCACACATATCACACCCGTATGGTTTTGCACCAGTGTGTGTGCGTCGATGTATTGTCAATTGGCTACTTTGGTTGAATGATTTTTCACAGATAGCGCATGGGTAATTTTTCTTCTTCATTTTTTTCGTCGGAGTTATGGCAGGTTTTTTCTATTTGTAAACAATTTATTTAATATTTATTTGTTTTTTTTTTTAACTATTTGGTAACTATATACTTCTCTGCTTATAATCGATTAGACTTTATTGACTTCACCAGATTTTCAAGCCAGTATTTGATGCAGTATTTTTTTAACATTAAATAGAGCATAATATTATGCTTTTACGTATTATTAGTAAAATATTAATTTATATTCAATTTTATAATAATAACTGATACTCGTGGATTTCATTGTCCGTTAAAAATACCGCAACTATATATATGATTCAAAATTTGTGTTTCGTTTAATGCCTAATTGTTGTATGTGGCATGTGCCAATTAATAATAATAGACATTACTTCTTTTAACTAAATGTTTAAATTGCCTAATATTAGGCCAACAAAGTAAATGAGCTGAGGCAGCACTTTGTTAAATAATATTTAAGGATGTAAGTACCACAGTAGAGGGACAGTGGGGGTTTCGAGTGAGAGACGATATATGTTTGAAAGCGATTGATAGAGACCCGTATTTTTGTGTTTAATAAAGTTATTCAAAATAGTACTAATTGTTCATCTATTATTTTGTGTGCCATCGAGAGATAGGTATACTACATAATGTAGCTAGTGATGTTCAAAATTTCGTGTGACAAATTCTCGTGGATTTACCCTATCTTAACTCAATTAAAGATTTTTAACACAATCGTTTAAAATATAGACATCATCGTTATTCGTTATAGAAAGAAGTAAAAACCACGATCTCATTCTGGACTCGACAATCCGTTGGGCTTGGGAAACAAATGACCCGCAACAAATAATGTAGTAAACAAAGAAAAAAAAAGTATCTATAGGCCTGCATTCCATGGTTTCGACAACAGTATAGCATCGCTGTGTCCATTGGCAACTCACATTGTCAGCAGCTCGCTACCTAACCTAACCTAACCTGCGATATTTCTTTAAATCATGAAATGAAAGTAATTATAATTTAATAAATTATATTCTAATAATTAATTTGAAATAGTTTTTGGCCATCAGGTAAACAAATACATAAAAATAATTATTTTGTTGGATTTTTTTCATTGATTAAAGTTTTCTTCTTATCTAAACAAATTAAACTTAATAAATATATAATAAAATATTAATATTAAGTAATAAATATATATACTCGTATATATGTTACCGGCAATATGGATAATCCGGTATTTTTCAAAATGCCTAGGCATTATATAAAATGCCAAAAATCAGTCGGAAGTATACATAATACGAGCTTTACCTACCTAGGTATTATGTATAATGCCAAACAGAGAGTAGGAAATATGATAAAAATAAAAATAATTGGGTATCACTTATTACCAACGACTTTACTTATCGTTTATTGTAAACGCGCGTGCTGTATGTGCACGATTTGATGCAATAAAGATAAGAATCTTACCCTACCATTATAAAGTACTTATAATTTTATTTTATTATCGTCATTGTCGTGTCTCGTCACACTGTGTTGTATTACTATGGATACGATTAACATGAAGTTAATTTTTTATAAGGATCTCCATAAAAATCGTAAAAATTTGGCTAATAACACAAGTTTTTTAACTGATGAAAAATATAATGAGTTAATAGAGGTTATTTTGGAACTTAAAGCTGGACGTCAGTAAAAGCAGCCTAAAGATTTCCGTTTAATAAAAAGGTAAGAAATTAATATTTAAAAAAAAAAATACTTAAATTAATTTTATAAAATACAACCAGCTATTTTTTTTAAATTATTTATTTCTGTTGTCGTAGGTATGATGTGCTGGTTGTACAAGGGAAAACAAAACTTATATTTCCTGTAAAAGATGACAATGTTGTTCTGTATTATGTGCCAACCAGTGAGCTATTTGATATATTGCAAGCCACACATGTATCAATAGGACATGGTGGGTGTGATCGAATGATCGAGGAACTTGGTAATAAATACAAAAATATAACACGTAATGACATAGAGATATTTTTGCATTTTTGTGAACCATGTCAACAAAAACAAAAAGGCTCTAAAAAAGGAGTGGTAGTTAAACCAATAATATCTCCAGACTTTAATTCCCGATACCAAGTTGATTTGATAGATTTCTCACTTAATCTTGAAAGGGCTCTACGCCCTTACCTATTATCTGATAATGTGAGCCAAAACATACATAAAAGAAAATTATGATATAAAATAATGGRGCACCTACACCAATTTGCACCGGGGCGTCACACAAGTATGTAGTTACGGCTCTGCACAGAACAACTGCGAAATATAGAAAATGAAGTATCAGGCACAGAACAACTATTAGCTACAAGTATACGAACAACTGTCAAATTAAATAACGAAAACGCCAATATTATGCGAACTAGAGCCAAGGAAAATCTTGAAAATTAAGCGAAAAAAATGATGGCATGGTCGGATATGAAGCTATTGCCGGTGGCAGATCATTCAACTGTACGTGTTCCAGTTCCTGAAGTAGATAAAGGACGTTTAGATGCAWGAAGTATACTGGCAATTGTTTTAGAGGTAATAAATAAGCTTAAAAATTATTATTATAATTTATAAATATTATTATATTAATAAATAAGTCATATTATGTTTTTTTTAGGTAACAAGTGATGGTTCTTATAGATTAGGAACTCGCGATAGAGTTCTGAAACAGTTATACACMAGAAATCAGTTTACAGTATGTAAGAAAAAGCTACTAATAATTCACGAGGTTCCAGCTATTTTTAAAACGGTTTCGAATCATTAAAATATTAAAAGATAATCAAATCAAATAATTAAATTAAAATGCTGTTTGCTTATCTTAGATAATAAATTCAATAAGTTACAAATGTAATAATATAATGATGTTAGATATTTTGTAATCTTGTGAAATTGTCACGTTATTAAATATCGTTTTATACATTTTATAAACTTGTATCTTTGATAATTAATTATATATAAAAATATGATGATAATCAAAAATCTATATAGAACAAGAATTATAGAAAATTTAATTTACTATAAATAATGTCCTACACATATTTATATATGAACGAGTTGAAACGAGATATAAATAAAACATTTAAAAAATACGTGGTTATTTGAATAAAATCGTGCTTGCGAATTTTAAGGACTCAGGGGCACGGGTTAAACTTAACCTATCGACATGAAATTTTGTAAATATAATTTTTATATATATTGGAACCAAATTAGGGTGTAAGACTGAAAAAAATGTTATAAAAAAAATCACCTATTTGACGAAGGGCCACCCTAATATTCCCGCATATAAGTTGTCTCTGTCTTACAAATGTAATACATTGTCAAAACTGTTTTGCGCGGGAAAGAATCACTCAAGCTGTAATCCAAGCTAAGCAACCAAATTTTCACACTATAAAGAGGAGAATATTTATAATGCAACGTTGTTTTCATTTGTTTGATATAAGAACTAAAAAAAGTTATTCAAATTTAAAAATCTTAAAAATAATGAATTCTTAAACAATAAGAACTTTTTTCGTATTTGTGATATCGAAAAGTTAAAAACAACGTTGCACAGTAAATATTCTCCTTTTTATAGCGTGAAAATTTGGTTGCTTGGCTTGGATTACAGCTTGAGTGGTTCTATCCCGCGCAGAAAAGTTTTCGCAATGTTTTACATTTGTAAGACGGGTGTAGCGTACTCTTAAATAAAATTGTGTCTGTCTAGTGTCTAATTTGGTGAAAAAATTAAACAATGACCTAACGAAAAAAACATAGTTTAATAAAAAAAAACAAAATAATAAAATAAATCATTTACCTATTAAAAGTGTTTTGGTTAGGTTGTTTTTAAAAATGCCAGCAATTAGACGTGCAAAAAATTAAATAGCAGAACCAGATTAGCTACAAAGTAGCTATATACGGCAGATATACAAGAAATAAATTAACTGACAAATAAAATAAAATACTATACAATTTTTTTTATTAATCTTGGATTATAACTACTTTTTAATTTACTAATTACTAGATAATTTTTGTATTAGGTATGTATATTTATCACGATGTATTATAATATAAGATGTGTTAGATGATGTTAAATTTAGATCTTAAGAGGATGCTACCAGGGGCGTAATTAAGGGGGGATGAGGGGGATATATCCCCCCCAGAGCCTATATAATGTGTATATTTATAATATATTAATTTGAAGCTTGTGGAATTATAATATGTTTTATCGTATCGTGCTGACATCACGACGAAATATATTAAAATAATTAATATCAAGAAATCTATAAATTATTATATAATTTAAAAGTAAATTTTAATTCTCATATAAGTATTCAAAATTTACATTTTGAAGAAATTATTATAATATTGTATAGGTACTAAATTGTGTAGAATTTTAAAGCACATTTATTAATACATTTTGTGTACATATATATTAGTTTAAGAATTTTTGATGAAATATTGTACTTGAAAATCTAAGTATTTTATGTGGAAAAAAATGTTTATCCCCTAATTCCTAATTACGCCACTGGATGCTACACTCACAATGTGTTGTCTTCGTCTTATATAACATACCAAATGTTACGTTAAAAATAAACCACTTTACTGTTATTATTCATAAATAGAGATAGATAATAATCTAGAATCTAGACTATCAGCAAATTTTACGATATGAATAGTCCATTTTTAAAATTTGAGTGAATTGACCCTCGATTAAATTTGAAAATAATATTATTCTCTAGTCTAGATATCGTAAAATTTGCTGTGTTGTACGTTTATTATCAATTGCTTTACTTATTAATAGTATTCACAATAGGAAAGTTTAACTTGATAAAATGGTTTAGTTAATAAGTTTTTATATGTTAAAAACATTGCTTGTAGATTTCTGAAAGACCAAACAAAACCATTTTATTTGAATTTTGTGATATTTTATTTTTAATTGTACATAATGGCACATTCTGATAGAAATAAATTAAGCTTAATCACTATAACATAATTATTACTTAAACCTATTTATATAAAAAAAAATTGGAAGCAATTTTTAAGCACAATTTTGGATATTATTTACTGCAATAATGTATTTTCAAAGCATTTAGTGAAATAACTTCCAGCCTTACTAATAACCAAATGTTGGCATTAACTAGTTAAAAGATTTAATTTTTTTCTAACTTAATGATAAAAAGTAACAACTTTACTTTTTAATTTAACTTAAAAATTATAGTGAAAATACTGAAAGTTAAGATTATGTTTAAGACTTTAAACAAATTATCTTTAACTAAAGTAATTAAGTGTTAAGACTAATAAGCTAATTTTTTGTGTTGAATCATTATGGTTTCAAAAAAAAAAAATAAACAATTAACAAATAAACATTCCTTGATTAAATAATTTAGTTAAAAAAAACATACAATTGCTTAAACTACTAAAGCTTGTGTAAAATAAAGAGGAGTACAATAGTTTATAGGGTACATTTGTAAGTTACAAATGTTAAGTAATTATTTAAAAAAAATTTACAGTTGCTCAATAACATTAATTATTAATATTTTTAGCCCAGGCAATTACCACCTGAGAATTAGAATAAGATGAATTAATTTCTTTAATTAATCAATAATATACTCTATTTAATTGAATCTATCTTATTTAAGTTTTCATTGTATTATAAATTTAAATTTTTTGTTTTTATATACTAGTTATGCATGTAACATAAAATAATCAAATCTAGTAAAAATTAAAATCAAAAAAATTAGAAAATATTAAATGTGAAAAATAACTAATCACTGAAAGTTTAAAAATGTACTGTGTTTAGTTAATTAAATACTACATTTATATGATGGCGTTAAAACAGTTTTAAAAATGTAAGCCGTTTTAATAGTTAAAATGCTCGTACTATGTAGTATAAGAATTTAAAACTAATTTAATTTCAACCTGTTTAAACGCCATCATATAAACGTAGTAATTTTTGATTATATACAAAATATTACAAAATATAAAAATAAAATATATATAAAAATTTTTTTTCAAATGTTAGGTTAAATGTAAAATGTAGGTTAATATACACGTATGTATTTGTCATAGATATCTATATTAACTAGATGAGCAACTCTGGGCATTAGTTAAAACCAAGTTCTGTTAACCGTTTTCTGGAAAATAATATAACATATCCTATATGTATTTATGGTAAATATTAATTGATGTTGTATTATATTTTATTATTTCAAGACATATTTTTTAGTGCCTGAGGAAATTAAATATAATTAAAATACATTCATACTATTATAAATTTATAAATACCATGTTAATTGAAAGAAAAACATTTTAAATCCCAATAATTTGTAGTTTTGTGTATAATATAATGATCTACTCATGTACATAGTTATGTGGTCATCCTAGATACTCCAATATCTCCTTAAAATATTTTTATTTTAGATTAGATTTCAACAAAATCATTTTCAACTACAATGATTTGGAATTCAATAATTATTTGAAGAAAAATAATTTTTTTTGTGTGTGTTCCTTTAAAGAATATAAAAAAATAACACAATTAATACATACATTTTTTAAATAAAACGATAATTATGATTTATTTCATCTGTGCCATTTTCATGATAATCGCTACTTCTGAACCACAAATGATTAAATTTAGCAGTAGTGGCTAATAATGAACCACCAATCCATGCACCAAATCGTCTGTTAGATGAATTAATAGGAGCAGTTAATTTCACTCTTGATGTATTTCTTAAATTAGAAGCAATTTCTGTATGTAATCTCCGCGGAAATCCCTTTAAATAGGTATGAGTGCAATATGAACAATTTTTTTTTTGTATAAATATTAATCACTTACTTTTATCAAAGAATTTCCACCAGTAACTATAATGTTGGCATATAGTTCATCTGTTATTGTATCACTACACATTGCTGCACAAAGGTGGACAACTTCACTCAGGGCTGTTAAGTTACCTCCTTCATTACTAGGATTGAAAAAGAATTCTGGTATTTTGAACCTTTCACTACCAAATTCCTAAAATGTGTAAAATCTATTACATTATTATTATTATAAAATATTACATGGTATACCTAAATATACACGATTATTATTTTTACTATGAATTAAATCTTAAAGTGTAATAATTTAATAATAATATTGTCAATAATAGTTTAATATTTATAATATTTCATTTTTTTCGATTTTATTTTATTATTTCAAGATACAATAATCAGATATTACATACAACTTGTAAAAACATCTACAAATTATTTATTTATAGTTTACTAGCCTACCTATACTTGCATGAGATAGATGATCTACTTATTATAACCATTAAGTATGTAGTTAAACCAATTTTAAGTCTTAACATTTTATGTTGTTACATTGTAGTCACTTATCAAATGGACTACTCTTTTCTATGATATACTTGAAAAAAAGATAATATTTCTTAATAATGTATAACTTTAAAAGTTTAATTCATTATTAACTTCAATTATCATTTAATATATATAATTAATATGATTTCTTAATAATATATTCAGAAAATATGTCAACCTTTTGATTTGTGACATTTTAAGATGTGTAAACAAAAATATTCAATTTCAAGTTATTTTGTAATTTACTCTTTATGCATAGACATTTAAAATTGTTTATTATTGATATAAATAATTACTTGATTGTAGCCATTAGGAAACTCATAATGACAAGTCGGAAGATTTGATAATAGAGAATCATTATATTGAAATTCAGTTACTTCTAACACAGTATGCTTAAAATCTTCAAGAACTGATTTGCACATGTAGTTATGCCAAGAATTTGTTACTTTGGGGAGTGTATTTTTTCTTGACCATATCGGAGTTTCATTTGCTTTTACCCTTTGCTTGTTAGCAATAAGATAATGTGGAATCACATCAATATTATTTTCCTATAAAAAATTCTCAAATAAAAATAATATTACATAAATAAGTAGGTAGGTAGGTACAAGGGCTATGATTTTACTTACATAAAAATGTTTCTCACATTTTTTAAGAATGAAATCTCCTCCCATGGGAGAACTGACAATAGCACCAGTTATTACATATCCTTCATATACTGGGATGGCAGTGGTATGTGTAGCACCACTATCAACAACAATTCCAGTTTCGATACCACAAGAAAAAGCAGCTGCTGCAGCGTTTTTACAAATCATCATTGCTGGCACATTGTATTTTTCAAACAACAACTCCATTAGTTTTTCTCTATTTTTGTTGGTATTTAATGGCGATTCAGTAAATACAACAGGATGAAGCTTTGGATCAGTGAACAAACACTTTGAGTAAGCATAATTCATAAGGTTTTCAAACGCATCCCAATCTTGGATTAAGCCTTTGTCCATAATATTTATAAGTTCCATGCCTAAAAAATAAATATTAATTGAAATATATGAGAAATTCTGGAAGGAAAGTTCAAAATATAAATAATTCAATTCACAAAATTAAAATGTTTAAAAATATGTATCTAAAATACAAAGGTACCTATCCATATATTAATTTTTCTTTAATATTATAATAGTAGGTATAGGCTATAGCAGTGGTTCTCAACGGGGGCAATATCGCCCCCCAGTGGGCGGTAAAGTGTCACCGAGGGGCAATGAACTAGTTTTGGGTGGTAGGGGGGCGGTGAACTAATTTTGGGTGGTAGAGGGGCGGCAAACGGTTCACACAAAAACGTTGTAGATGGTGTCGGTGTGACCTAAAAATAATTCATACTTGATAATCCATATAATAACTATCA